AAGTTTTAGGTGGAATTTTATATCAGAATCTCATTTTAATGAAAAGTGCTGATAGAGGGTATTGAATATAAGACCTCGATATTCTTTGCTTTATACTTATCATCACCCCTATTGGTGCGTATTAGGCTGCATAAACGGTTTTGAAAGGGCGATCAAAACATTTGCCAATTTCGCTATACTTCACTTCACTTCCTCAGAGCTTTCAAATACTGTCAAAGGCGGACTACTGCAAATAGTGAATGAGCCATTTGCTTTAATAAAACATCAAGCACTACTGCATTTACTGTCGAGTGCAACTGTACAGTAATGCTGCGAGTGTTACATAAACTTAACCTGAAGCTCCATAGCAGGTTGTGGCTAGAGATACTATTCTATGAAATTTTGTTAGTTGCATAAGACTTGCACCGCTCATTCGCTTTCAAAAATGAGATGTCAAAGGAAGGGGCTTGGGCCTCTAGATGTGCAGAAAGGTTCTATTTTTTTAATAGGGTTGCCACCTGATTTTAAAATTATGATATTTACACCGTTCGCCTGATTTTCAAATATGTGGTGTCAAACAAATTGGCTTGACCAACAGAAGGAAAGTAGGGTTTATTTTATTTAATAGGGTTGCCACCCTTTTATATGCCCTTGTTTTCAGCTGATTCAGCTAAGCGGCATTTGGACATATTACATATATGGATTTTATTTACCTTTCCAAGGATACCAACCTTTTCAAGCTCGCTCAGGAATTTTTCGAAATATAGCCATTTTAAATTTTCGAAAATTCCCCCTTCGCTACTCCATATCCTAAAAATATAAGTTTGCACCAAAAAAATGTTTATATCATTAAATTTAAGAAAAAGGTGGACCACGTCAAAGAACGTATTTGGGCAAAAGAGAAAGCACGCTCCTGATGTTTCCACTCGTTACAATTATAACGTGTTGTCTCTGCTTATAGATTTAGGTTCTTTGACCACGCCCGCTTTTCGTTTTGTTCTAGCTTAACGGGCCGTATTCTGCACTTAGCCACGCTACAAACGACGAGCATCCTTTTTTTTATTTTTTGCGAGCATGCTCGTGAACCGCCTAACAAACGACGAACTTGCACCACAAGCCGAGCGGTGCGCGCACAATGTTCGTCGTGTGTAGCCACTGTTATGCCAAAGTACCTAAGAGGGTGTGAAGGCCCCTACTCAATTTCGACAAACAAAATATTACCTGGCAATGCCATCCCACGTGTTCGAAATCAAAATAATAGTTGTCTCACTTCCACTCATGTCGGCTACCAAAAACGGAAAATAAACGCGTATTTGTGGCCATTTTACTGAAAATTTTCGCCTACTCCGCACTCCTTTAAATAATCAAACTATTTAATAAAAACAAAATCATCTGAAGATACTAAAAGATGTAAGNCATTAAATTTAAGAAAAAGGTGGACCACGTCAAAGAACGTATTTGGGCAAAAGAGAAAGCACGCTCCTGATGTTTCCACTCGTTACAATTATAACGTGTGTTTTTATCTGCTTATAGATTTAGGTTCTATGACCACGCCCGCTTTTCGTTTTGTTCTAGCTTAACGGGCCGTATTCTGCACTTAGCCACGCTACAAACGACGAGCATCCTTTTTTTTTACNGGTGGACCACGTCAAAGAACGTATTTGGGCAAAAGAGAAAGCACGCTCCTGATGTTTCCACTCGTTACAATTATAACGTGTTGTCTCTGCTTATAGATTTAGGTTCTTTGACCACGCCCGCTTTTCGTTTTGTTCTAGCTTAACGGGCCGTATTCTGCACTTAGCCACGCTACAAACGACGAGCATCCTTTTTTTTTACTTTTTGCGAGCATGCTCGTGAACCGCCTAACAAACGACGAACTTGCACCACAAGCCGAGCGGTGCGCGCACAATGTTCGTCGTGTGTAGCCACTGTTATGCCAAAGTACCTAAGTGGGTGTGAAGGCCCCTACTGAATTTCGACAAACAAAATATTACCTGGCAATGCCATCCCACGTGTTCGAAATCAAAATAATAGTTGTCTCACTTCCACTCATGTCGGCTACCAAAAACGGAAAATAAACGCGGATTTGTGGCCATTTTACTGAAAATTTTCGCCTACTCCGCACTCCTTTAAATAATCAAACTATTTAATAAAAACAAAATCATCTGAAGATACTAAAAGATGTAAGTAAAATTATTCTTATTACAAGCGTTTGCAAATAATAGTCGCCGATTGATAATGTGTATTTAATCCAGGGCTCATGAGCGTTCGCCATCTGCCGAGGCGGAAAAAGATGGGAAGGATGGCAAAGAATCGTCGACGAAAGATGTGAAGCCAAAAGTTAGCTCCTCGTCGAATTCGAATCGTGGTCGGGAGCGTGACCGCAGAAGACGCGGTTCAGCGTCATCCAGCAGCGATAGTAGTGGCAGGTGCGTCTCGGTATAAAAATATCCAAATATTTTTTTGTTAACGTTATTTCATATTTACCCACAGTTCGTCAGACAGCAGCTCTTCTCGAAGTAGCTCGGGATCGGGATCACGCTCTAGCTCTTCTAGTTCCAGTGGTTCATCCTCTTCTTCTTCGTCATCATCAAGTGATTCTGAACGCGGCGTTAACAACCGACGTCGTGGTGGTGGGGGAAACTCAAATGCAGCTCGTAAGAGTGGTTCGCGCTCTCCGCGTCGCTCTAAATCGCCCCGTGCTACGAGCAAGATTCGCAAGGACAAGTCTCGTTCCAAGGATCGGGAACGCGACCGTGAACGCAATGAGCGCGATCGTGATAGAGACAGAGAGCGAAATGAACGCGATCGACGGCGATCGCGGACACGCTCGCGTTCCAAAGATCGGGATCGTGCACGACGTACATCAAACGATAGAGGTGGTGCAGGTGGAGGTGGCGGTGGTGGAGGAGATGGCGCAGCTGCCAAGCGCGAACGTTCAAAAGAACGCGATCGCCGTTCCCGCTCACGCTCGGGGTCACGATCTCCACGTCGCCGTGTTCGCAGCTCCGGTGAACGCAGTCCGCCGGCCAAGCGACGAGATCGGACCCGCTCGCGATCGGCCACTCCAAAGCCGACGCGTATTCATGTTGGTCGATTAACCCGCAACGTAACCAAGGAACATGTCATCGAAATTTTCAGTTGCTTTGGTGAGGTTAAAAATGTTGAATTCCCGACGGACCGCTATCATCCTTCTTTCGGACGTGGCATGGCATATGTGGAGTATGCTACGCCGGAAGAATGTGAGACGGCTATGAAACAGATGGATGGCGGGCAAATTGACGGTCAAGAGGTTACTGTATCGCCGGTACAAGCACTAAAAATTCGTCCTCCTGTTAGGCGCCCTTCACTCACAATGCGACGTCCAGCTGGTCGCTGGCGCTCACCGCCGATGTTTAACCGATTTAATAATCGCGGAAGGCGTTCGCCTCCCCGCGGCAGGCGTTCGCCTCGGCGCCGATCACGATCACCTATTCGTCGACGCCGGCGCAGTAATAGCTCAGACAGCTCACGTTAATATTCGTGCACAAGGACGATCAATGCAAGTTTTAAAAAGGAAACCTGAGGGCAAATAAGGATATATCCAGTACTTGCTAATAAAATGTTATTATTTAAATTTAGTTACTTGGTATTTTACGATTAGGTCGTAGACGTAATCGAGCCCTAACCGCCAAAAAGACGTAATCGACATTTTTCTTTTTGATGTAGAAATGTTCCTAGAATGCATGGTACAATAATTACAGGTATTGTCTTCCCAGAGAGTTTTGCTTCACATCGAAATTCGTGCTCCCTTATTTTCATTTTGACGCAGTTCAATGTTGATTCTTTTACTTTTATTTGGCTTTGCTTTTTGCTTTCGCTCAATGTAATTTCTATAATTTTTCAAAACAAAATAAAAAACGTTTGAAATGAAGTGAGCCATACAAATTTTGAGTTTATTTAAAAAGCAAATGTTTTCTTTCGGCATTTGCAAATTAATTAAGTCCTCTGCAAGAAGCTTTGTTTAAAAAAATACGTGTACATATATGGTATACGTAGCAGTAAACCTTTGTGTGGTCAACAATGTTTTTCAAATAAGGCAGATCGGAATATGCGCTCTCTGGGAAGACGATACCTGTAATTATTGTACCATGCCTAGAATGTATAGATTTATTTCTGTATAAAAAAAAAAAAAAATGTCGCTTACGTCTTTTTGGCGGTTAGGATTCGTTATGATAATACAAACGTAAAGTCAAAGTACGGTATCAAATTCACTAATTAAAAATTTAGAATCGTATGATATCAACAACGCTAGCGACTTGAGGCGATTTTATCAAAAGAGTTTGAGAAAATATAAAAGTAATTGCTATATACCATTTATAAATGCATAAGTCTTTTCTTGACGTATATATGTATGTATGTACATGATTTATGTATATAGTAGGCGAGGAATTAAACCTTCTATTAAAATCTTAACGAAATACAAAGATAATGTAGTTTCTTATTTGGAATTACGTATAAATGGTTAATGTATAAACGTGCAATGCTCAGATGATAGGGGACAGCCATCTGGATGATGCAGATGAAAGAAGCAGACACGCTTTTTGACCGTTTGTTTAGCCTTAGAATTTGGTGTTTGGACAA